TGGCAGTACATCCAACCGGCCTCACAACCGCAGACCACGTGTAACCACTCCAGCCCAGGACCTCCACATCCAGTATCTTCACCTCCAAGATTGTCTGAGACCAGCCACCCGGACAGCTGCTGCAACAATCGGTTTGCATAACCAAAGAATTTCTGCACAAACTGTCAGAAACCGTCTCAGGGAAGCTCATCTGCATGCTCATCGTCCTCATCGGGGTCTCGACCTGACTGCAGTTCATCATCGTAACCGACTTGAGTGGGCAAATGCTCACATCCGATGGCGTCTGGCACTTTGAAGAGGTGTTCTCTTCACGGATGAATCCTGGTTTTCACTGTACAGGGCAGATGGCAGACAGCGTGTATGGCGTCGTGTGGGTGAGCCGTTTGCTGATGTCAACTTTGTGGATTGAGTGACCCATGGTGGTGGTGTTGTTATGGTATGGGCAGGCGTATGTTATGGACAATGAACACAGGTGCATTAGACGTTTGGGACAACCAGAACCCTTCTTAGAGCTGGCCGTCCGGCCAAACTGAGCTCTCGGGGGGGAAGAGCCTTGGTGAGAGAGGTAAAGAAGAACCCAAAGATCACTGTGGCTGAGCTCCAGAGATGCAGTCGGGAGATGGGAGAAAGTTGTAGAAAGTCAACCATCCCTGCAGCCCTCCACCAGTCGGGGCTTTATGGCAGAGTGGCCCGACGGAAGCCTCTCCTTAGTGCAAGACACATGAAAGCCCGCATGGAGTTGTGAGATGGTGAGAAATAAGATTCTCTGGTATGATGAGATCCAGATAGAACTTTTTGGCCTTAATTCTAAGTGGTATGTGTGGAGAAAACCAGGCACTGCTCATCACCTGTCCCAACAGTGAAGCATGGTGGTGGCAGCATCATGCTGTGGGGGTGTTTTCAGCTGCAGGGACAGGATGACTGGTTGCAATCGAGGGAAAGATGAATGCGGCCAAGTACAGGGATATCCTGGACGAAAACCTTCTCCAGAGTGTTCAGGACCTCAGACTGGGCCGAAGGTTTACCTTCCAACAAGCCAATGACCCTAAGCACACAGCTAAAATAACGAAGGAGTGGCTTTACAACAACTCTGTTACTGTTCTTGAATGGCCCAGCCAGAGCCCTGACTTAAACCCAATTGAGCATCTCTGGAGAGACCTAAAAATGGCTGTCCACCAACGTTTACCATCCAACCTGACAGAACTGGAGAGGATCTGCAAGGAGGAATGGCAGAGGATCCCCAAATCCAGGTGTGAAAAACTTGTTGCATCTTTCCCAAAAAGACTCATGGCTGTATTAGATCAAAAGGGTGCTTCTACTAAATGCTGAGCAAAGGGTCTGAATACTTAGGACCATGTGATATTTCAGTTTTTCTTTTTTAATAAATCTGCAAAAATGTCAACAATTCTGTGTTTTTCTGTCAATATGGGGTGCTGTGTGTACATTAATGAGGAAAAAAAATTACTTAAATGATTTTAGCAAATGGCTGCAATATAACAAAGAGTGAAAAATTTAAGGGGGTCTGAATATTTTCCGTACCCACTGTATATATACACACACATATATATAGACAAACACACAAAATACAGGACAATACGTCAGACTGGATATCACGTTTGTGGACACTGGCCTACATACTGAATGAAGGGAGCTTTTGTAAACAATTCTTAGCACACTGCAGATAATCAGGTAATTAATAAGCTAATGTGTTGGTCTACATTCACAGTTGCTAACATGGAAAGGGACAGGCAGGATTACTACAGTTAAAGCTACCTTTAAACACTGATCTCAGACCAGTTTTGTAGTTTCTCCCCTAATATGCATCGCCACGATTTATTTCAGAGGAGCTAGTCCCAGATTAGTTGCCATCAGGCCACTTCTACCCAGAGCAGAGTAGCTATTTCAATAAACGGTGGCATTGTACCATCAGCACACTTGAAGAAATCTGTCTGCATGTTTTTCTTCTTTCTTTCCATCAGACAGAATCTCTTTGGTAACTGCTGCTGTGTTGGAGAGATGCTCTTACATTTCTGCAGCCTTGACATTTCAGTAGTGCAACTGAAGGTTTGTCTGGGCTTTTTGTTTGTCAGAGTCCTATGGGCGATATAAGCAATAAAGAAAACACAGCACACAACCACCAATGCACTAAGCATTATGTACTGCCATACATAAAGCAACAAGGCACACAATTTTACTAAAAATCATTCTAGTGACAGTGTACAAGCACCTGAGATATGTTCACTGTTTAGGAAAGGAACAGTTCTTCCAAAAAGAAAAAATTCTGTTATCATTTACTCACCCTCAAGTTGTTTCAAACCCGTATAAGTTTCTTTCTTCGTTTTAAGACACGCATACAAAAAAATTAAAAATAAAATAAGGAGGTCCCCCATACTATAAGTCAATGGCTACCGTCAACTGGTTGGTTACCAGCATTCTTCAAAATATCTTCTTTCTTTAACAGAAGACAGAAACTCATACAGGTTTGGAACAACATAAGGATGAGTAAATTATGACAGAATTTACATTTTTGGGTGAACTGTCCCTTTAAGAGTTTTGAAAAATCCTTAGCTCCAAGTTTGAGCAATAGCAATACTCATACTAAGTAAAGCATGATGTGCATATCATGATTTGTGGAAAGCTATATCATGCTTCAGAGATCTCTGTGCATTTTGTCTGCAGCTTCAGAGTGAGACGTCTCATCCATAGAGGAAGATCACAGAAAGAGATGCTAACAAATAGATCAGAGGAGAGAAACAGAGCGGCAGATCAAAGCGATCCGCTGTAAGCGTGGATGAGGATGAGTCTCCTCTGACACAAGCAGCCCAATGCGAGGATCAAAAGAACCACCAGAAGGGACATGGGCCGCCAACTACTACTGATGCCCAAGTAGTGTATTTAAATCTCTCCCTACACAAGACACCCTTTCATATTCCGTAATGACCCCATTTCACTCTTGTTTTGACTTGAGCTTGTATAAAGGATGTTGGAAACAGGATTGAGAGTCAAGAAATGGTTCTTATTCATATATTTTTTAACAATACTGGAAAGAAATTTTCATGGCGTTCAGTTTCTTTAATGTTTTTGAACTAGGGGTCGACAGATATGTGTTTTTCAGGGCCGATGCCGATACCGATTATTACAGATTAAGTAGGCCGATAACCGATATTTTGAACCGATATATATATGGTGTAAAAATTCAAATTAATGTCAAAATTAAGAATAAAAACAAAAACTGCCTTCCCTGGTGTTGGTTGAGTGTAGTACTCCCACAGTAAACTCTTTATTTTAAAGCGTTAAACTCTTTATTTTTGGCAAACAAAGGGTTTATTATTAAAATTAAAACATGGAAGAAATAGCGTATTGTGTGATTATTCTTTTAAACAAACGTTGTAATAATTGTTGTAGTAGAGTAGTCAGGGGTTAAAGCAAAAAGAAATTCAAAAATGTATGTTTATAAGCTTTTTAAAATGTCTATTAAAATCAAAATAATAAGTAGAATAAGACAAATAAGTTACCAATCATATGAAATTAGTATTAATAAAAAATCAATTTGTATTACAGAGGGTGCACAGAAGAACACAAAAGTGGCTTGTAGGTGCGTTTTCAGATGTTTAATGAGGCTCAGAGGTAATTAAATTCATTAATTAATGTGGAGATTAATGTTTTATATATACAATTTTGAATACAGAAATATTAAATGATTTAAATAACTGAAATTATACGCTAAAAATGAAACTGAAACCACCAGCAGGTGGCGGCAAGTCACTGATTTTATCACTGAATCATTCATTCAATTGATTCGTTTGAACGGCTGAATCATTCAGGAATGAAGCAAGTGACTGTCTTTATGAATGGGTAATCATGTATCATTGACTCACTAGATTCGTTCAAAAACGCATTCATGAATGAAATAGTAGGAATAGGAATGAGTAGAATTATTATTAATAGCCGCAATCCTGTGCTTGAAATTCAAGACCTGCTCTGTTCTCTGCTAATAACCCGACTGTGAATGATGCGAGTGGCGTTATGTTGTCAGTGAGAAGCTGCAGCCGTGGCGGGGAGGATTTTTGGTGAGCTGGTGTTCTGACAAATAATGCTATCTATCAGATTATGCTACCAACAAATCGTCAGAACACCGGCAGAACAACAACAATGTGCTACATGTTTCTTTTCCCCTCATTTTTTCCAATTGAAGAAAATCCGTTGTAGCGACAGAAAACTTTCATCCCTGAGTAGTATTATGTTCATCACACTGCACCACAGTAATATATTTCTGATAATTTCTTTAAGCTAACCCGAAATTATATTTTGACGGGTTGCCGCTTAATATTTACAGATACTAGTCCATATTGCGACTCTATTTAAGTGTACTGACCTACTTTTGATTAATTCATAATACAAAAATTGACAAATTTCGTGACATTCCGCGTCATACAGTAAATTTCATTTATATGACTGGATTCCGCTATTCCATCCGCGTTTTCCACATCGTGGAAATCATAGATAATATTGAGGTGTTTTGCAACTTCAGTGTAACGTTAGTGGATTGGGATCTATTGCAACTTAAGCAATGTCTGCTGCTGCCTTACCTTTGAGAGACAACTAACGCGTGATCACTGAAGCAGCTCCAGTTAGCAAGTGCTTTTGGAGTGAGTGAATTCCGCTTTGATTGGTCAGACTCGTGACTCCCAACAAATCAGATGAGCGGTGGGTGGAGACTGCTTTAGGCCACAGAGTGGTGAGTTCTGACAGGCTGCATCAGAGCCAAATAGCGCATTTCAAAATTAAGTTATTTTATCTGCGAATCGGGTTTGAAAATGACCGATAATCATAAAATGCTTAATATCGGCGCCAATAATCGGCCAGGGCAATAATCGGTAGACCCCTATTTTGAGCATCTGCATTCTACTGTTAATGTGTTTTCTGTACTGCTATTCCTATGCTGCTATTGCATTAATGCCAAATACATAGTTTTGTCTGAGCTGGGAGCTTGCAGTCTGGACTGGACGTGATGAGAGAGAAAAACATTGTCTTCACTGATTGCATACAACAAAAAAACAGTGATGTCAAATTTGCATACCAAAGACTTTTATGAACTGGTTCTTTTTAATCAATCAGCCAAAATGACTCACAAGCCATTCTTGTGGCACAAGCTATTGGTTTGAAGCTATTTGCCTTTCGCACCGCTTTAGTTCCAGAACTAAATGTACAGTACTAAACTACTGGGACGATTTTGCGCGAACTATTTCCCAGTACTATTTAAAGGATTGTATTCGCACCGACAGTGCACGTAAGACGGTCGACACACATTAACGTCATTTGTGCGCGGCGTTCAATAACGTAAACAAAGAACAACATTAACAACAGGAGGATGCTGTGATCGGAGCAGTGTTTTTGTTGTCTCGCGGGTTTCACAATAATAGACATGAAATGTCGACGTATAGGCTGCGTAAAGCGATTGAAAGAACGGGAAGGAGGACTAAGAATCTCCAACGACAACTGCCAGTGCTACATTTGTTACAAGTGCCTGCACTTCAGTGTCCGTCCAACTATCGCGGTTCTCCATACTTGCGA